TTATGACGGCTTTTATGGGAGGATACCCTGACTCGAACAGGGAACTTACTGTGCCACATACAGTCGCTCTACCGATTGAACTATATCTTCCTTTTATTAACGAAGCACGGAGTGATTCGAACACTCAATAGTAAATACCAAAAATTTATGACTTACCTATTATTCGGACCATGTCATATAACATGATATAAATATAAATAATTATAAGGTTTTACCTTTAAACTACCCTTTAGCGCATTTTTTCTACTCCGAAGGAGACGGCTGCGAAGCTAGCCAACGTAATAGAGCAAGAGCTCGCGGCCCCTAGAGCGCCCCTCCCCTAGCGAAGCAACTAGAGCCACATTACATTTCCATCTTATTGATTTTAGTTATTATCCTGTATAGGTTTTACTAAATATCTTTTCTTTATTAATCTGGAAACCTCTTTTTCCTTTAAATCCTTTAACACTTTTCGAACGGCTGTTTCTGAACAACCAATAAAATGACCAGCTTCATTAATAGAATTAAAAACATTAGTTTCATTACTTAATGTATCCAAAAGTTCTACTTTACGAGCCTTTAATAAACTATTTTTCAATAACCGTTCTAGGTGTTCTTGGCTTGAATTATGTATTCTTAAACGTTCTTGTTGTTCAGCACTTGAATTATGAATTTTTAAACGTTCAATATGCTCCGGAGTTTTAGATAAAATTTTTAATTTATCAATAGTCTCAGGACTACTTTTGTAACCTTTTTTTGTGTAGGGTAAAACCCTACTACTGCTGTAGGTAAAATATTATATTCCCCCTCGGCCTCGGTGCGCAAGCTACCCTGAGGAGGTGGTTTTAATAAATCTATAAAATATTGTTCCCTAGATACTACTTCAGATGATGAAACATATTCTATAATTTCCAAGCTAAAGTTAGAATAACCATACTTTAATATAGCACTATAAATATTACTTTTAGCCCTTTGAATACTATATTCTAAGTGATTTATAGAATAGTATCCTCTAAATCTTTTTTCTAGGTTTGCACTACTTCCAATATAACTCTTATTGTTAACCTGATTTATTCATCTATATATTCCAGATTTGTATTTATTTTCTATTTTTACTTTTGTTTAAGTAAAAACAAAAGGGCCGGAGGCCCGCTGGCTGGCTTTCCTTAGGAGAAACACGCATGCATGCACTAAAATTTGTAACTTATCTGTATCTGCATTTTTATACTTTTTCTTCACTACAACTATTGCTGAGTTAGTAGAATAATTTATTACGCTACAAGGTAGAGCCAAAAAAGAGGTATACATAAAATATACAGCAACATTAGATCTAATGTTATAGGAGCCGGATTTGTACCTATTATTTATTATGGATAATCTATCATTATTTATCATACTACTGACATCAAAAAAGATAGCAAAAAGATCTGCCCTAGCGAAGCAACAAAAAATTGTGTTAGAATGGATAACACACCTTTCGTTCCTAGGGTTGAAAGACTAATCACTCCCATTATTATAAATCTCAATGTTCTTTTCATTAGAAAAGTGTAGAATTGAACTACATTTAACTTAAAGTTAAAATCTTCCCAATCTTTTCTTTATTGTTCTAAAATCAAATTAAATAAAGTTAGAACTAAAAGCTTCGCTATGCTGAAGTGATTCGAACACTCAATAGTAAATACCAAAAATTTATGACTTACCTGATTAGTCAACAGCATATTTAAGGTAAACCCGACTTGAACGGGTAAGATATTACTATCCAATAGACCTAAACTATTTATGTCTGCCAATTCCATCATTACCCTTCATATCGCTATAAAGTTTAAATATAATATAATATAACTATATAGTTACATTGAAATAATAGCAATAATAAATATCTCTATTTTCTATAGTAGGACTTGTAGGATTCGAACCTACATTTTAATGATTAAAAGTCATACGCATTCACCATTATACTAAAGTCCCTGCCCTCACCCCCCGGGGGTACGGTAAGACTTGAACTTACATTTTAGTCGTTCAAGTCTCTTAATTATATATGGTATACTTATTTAGTTGTGCGAAGCACTACACCTTTTATTTAATTATTTTATATGCCCACGGTAAGACTCGAACTTACAACAAAAATAGCTTCAGTATTTCACTCTACCAATTGAGTTACATGTGCTTGTTATTAGATACTAGGTATCTTTCTTTTATTAATTTATTTAATTTTTTATATCTAACTAACGTAGATAATCCTACATTTACAAATTCGGCTGCTTCTTTATAGAGGCACGCCACTAAAAATACTGTCTCCTTATTTAATACTGTGTCTAGAACTTTAACTTGAATAGATCTATTTATTGACATTTTTAACAGGCTTTCTTTTCCCAGTCACCCCGGGGGTAGGAAGAGAATGCTTTTTACCATAAAGAGAAGTTTATTCACCTTTACGTAATACAGCTATTTCCCTCATCTTTAATTTAGCCTCTTCTGTATGTTTACGTCCCAGAGACTTTAACCCTATTAGTGATTTGGTTATTTCAGTATGTTTAGCCCCTTCGTCTCCCTCCTACCCCCGGGGGGTGAAGAGTAGAGAATAAGCTATTTTTAATATATTGTACTCAGGTTTCAATAAATCAATATAATATTGCTCTCTTTCTATTAAGGTACTTATATCACAATATTCTAGAATATCTATACTAAAATTTTCATAGCCATATTTTAATATGGCACTGTAAATAGCACTAGATCCTTCTGCTAGTTTACGCTGAACAGAATTTGTAGAATAATAAATGCTAAATCTATCTCTAATCGATTTAGCTGAACCTACAGAACTTTTATTTGTAATTAAATTATTTCAACGGTATATACCAGATTTTTTATTATTATCCTTATAAAGAATAAACTTGTCCCTTTCTGCATTAGAATAGGTTTTTATGGGAACTATGCTATTTTTCATTGTGTTTTTCATGGTTTTATTTTAATTTAATGGAACAGGACTAGCTGCTTAAGGTAACCCTTAGCCATCATGAGGGTTTTTGTTTCTGTGTAGCTAAATTAATAGCCGGAGTGCCGTCCTTTAACCACATTATAGTCCTGGCTTAGTCAGAGGCCTACAGACTTAACGGCTCAATTTCTTGCTACCGGTACTAGTCAGTTCACTGAATCTAGGGATATGGGAATGCGCAATTTACAGGCCCGTCCAGATCCCATTCAAAGCTTAACTATCGAAGCTTTGGCTCCAAATCGATACAATTTACATGCGATCGAACATGTGTGATTTCCACAACTTACTATAAACCTTTTGAGAGGTAAAATTTTCATAGTAAAAATCGTTGCCCTCCACTGTCAATTTTGGTGATGGAATTTTTGAATAATAGAATTTTGAATTCTTTCTTCTTAATTATCCACTTTTTATTTAGGTAGAATCTGTATCCCTCTCTCACCCTCCTGCGTAGGCGGTAGGAGGAAACAACTTCAACGTTCTGCTCGACCAATTGAGCTTCACGAGCTTATTTGGAGATATCAGGATCCGACCCCGAATTAACGATATGCAAAATCGCAGTTTTACCAATTAAACTATATCCCCTTTTTACGCTATCGCAGAGGAGTGACTCGAACACCCTAGCGAAGCAAACTTGTGCAGAGATTACCTCAGAAAATATATATCGATTTTTTAGTTATATAATAATTTTATAAAGCTGAGCTATCCGAAGAAGGACTTGAACCTTCAAGACTAAAAGTCTACAAAGCTTAAGTTTGTTGTGTTTGCCAATTTCACCATTCGGACTCTGATCACTGTCTACCAATTCCGGCACTCAGGCAGTTTAGGGCTAAAGTGACTTGAACACTTATCCCAGCAAGCTAGTTGCTTTACTAGAAGCTAGCTTACATTTTTAAGAAACAAAAACTGCAGTATTTCATAGAGGAAGGGTTAAGGTTTAAGGCTGAAGTGATTCGAACACTTGATATCACTGTTATGAGCAGCGCACTTTACCAACTAAGTTACAGCCTCTTTTATTTATATCGATACAATATAAATAAATCCATTATTATAAATTTAAGACATTAAATTA